AAATGATAACACAGCCAAGATTTTACGCTTGGAATGGTTTTTTCAATCATCAAATGATACTTTTTTTTCCAATCATCAAGCGACATCTTGTATAGCCAGATGCCAGAGGCCCGTTGTATTACTTACAAGCGATGGGCAGCAGCATTAAAAATGCAAGACATCTGCTACTATGATGTCGATACTTCACTGCTGGCAAGCGCATCGATTACGGTATATCCTCGCAACAATGATTACCCTTGTCGAACAATGCGACTGTTTACAGGCTGACAAAATAAAAACAAATGACAAATAACAATGTCCTTCATACAGAGTTTCGGTCACGGTGGCCAGTCCCAACGGAGACAAGTCTCTGCGCAGGGCAAGATTATACATTATACACAAGTGCATTCCCTATTCCCTCACTCTCATAGCCCGATGAGACGATAATCCGACACGACCGGACATGACCAACGGCTTTACGTGCTTTTCAAAACACGGGGGTGAAACACCACCAACATCCTGACTCTGAGAATAATTGAGAATTTCTCGACAGAAAAACCCAATAACTGGTTTTGACCCGACCCGGATTTGTACCTAGGCCTCACGATCAGCAACCACGTTCACAACCACTAGAACAAAGGGGCAGTCAAATTGGAAGAAAAAAGCAAATGACCACGTATTACTTCAAATATTAATATAAAAACTACTGCTTGAATAGCGTGCATAACAAAGTAATGACTTTTCTACCGACTTCAAAAAGGAGACGGTACTCAATTCGACTGTTTTTTATGTGTGTTACCTCATAACTTTTTACTGGGTGCACTGATTTCGGTGATTCTTTTTTTATTTGTAAGCTGGTGCTTCACATGTGGTCCCATATAAGTTTCATCAACGTCTGACTAACAGTTTTTGATTTATTCTTATAATTTACATTAAAGTCGGTTGTACAAAAATTTTAATTTTAAATTATTTGATTACAGTGTCCTAAGTGGCGATTGCTCAAATTGTATACCCAACTCGCCAGTGATGTAGTCTTAGGTGTAGCAACACGCCATGCCGAACGTTCTCTACTCGGGTACAATCAGACTAAACGTCACTTATAATAATTTACCATGCTTCGTCAGTTTTCATAACGTTTAATAGCCGATCTTTTTCTATCATAGCGACATACTTTCGGTATTGTGGATAACTAACAACTGCTAAGAGGTTCAGAAATTGTTAAGTTTAGTACATCGTGTATGCACAAGAGGCAGGCCGTGCCTATGTAACACATGCACTAAGGTCGGATCGGTTAAGGTCTAAGGTGTAGTAACACAGTTACAAGAATAATCACAACGCAACCGGTGGTAGAGCCACGCAGCAGCTTTTGCTGTTGCACGTATGGGGCGGCTCGAGCCGGGTTAGTTACCACGACCTCACAGAATACCGACGTGAAGTGGAATCTCTGCTTCCGCGTTTCGTCTGGTGAGTGCAGGTGACCGGAGGCCCAATTCCCCCCCCCCCCTCAACATGGTAGCGGAATTACATCATAAACTACCCCAGGAGGGTACCAGTACCCCTGGAGAATCCCTCGCTGAGCATCCACGACCATGCTATTTCACTCCTAAACGTGGGTGCTCAGGCTGCACCGCGTATTCTGGGGGGAGGGGGGGGGGGCAAAATTCCGCTCAACACAATAACTGCTCGGGGCAAACTGAGCAACAAGACCAAGGCGACCCCTGCCACGCTATCCATGAATTTCTGCAACATCAGGGGACTTCACTCGAACCTAAACGCCGTCCACTACCATCTCGAGACGGCGAAGCCGGCCTTGCTCTTTCTGACCGAGACGCAGGTTTCCTCTCCGGCTGATACTTCGTATCTCTCCTACCCGGGGTACAAACTGGAGCACTCCTTTGTGCCTCGGGCTGGAATTTGCGTGTATGTCAGAGAGGACATCTGTTCTCGACGCCTCGGCAGTCTTGAAGGTTTGGACCTGTCCATCCTTTGGCTACGCGTAGACAGCGACGACCATCCGCGCGTCTACGTGTGCCTCCATAGGTCCCATAGCGGTAATACCGAAACAGACCGACTCATCGACCACGTCCAAATGGCTACAGATTCCTTGCTACAACAGGTCCCATCCACAGAGATCGTGATCCTTGGCGATTTTAATGCCCACCACGCCGAATGGCTCGGTTCACGTTTAACCGATCTTGCGGGGAGATCTGTTTATGACTTTGCCTTGGCATATGGTCTGACACAACTGGTTACATCACCTACGCGGATTCCAGATGTTGAGGATCATACACCTTCCCTGTTGGACCTTCTGCTGACCTCTCATCCGGACGGATATCAGGTTTTCGTCGATGCCTCTCTTGGCTCTTCGGACCATTGTCTGATCCGGAGTATGGTGCCACTCACGCTCCCCTCGCGGTTGCGTTCTGCAGGTGTTTGGCATTACAGGTCGGCGGATTGGAACGGAATGCGGTCTTTCTTTGCTTCCTACCCATGGGGGCGGGTTTGATTCTCGTCAGATGATCCCAGCGCTGTTGCTGACTCTGTCACTGATGTGGTACTACAGGGAATGGAACTATTTATTCCATCATCTGTGGTACCCATCGGAGGCAGATCTCAGCCTTGGTTTGGTCGCTCCTGTAAGACTGCTTTACGCAGTAAGCAGGAGTGTTATCAAGCCTGGGCTGCGGCTTCGGCGACTCGGGATGTAAACACCAGCATACTTAAAAAGAAGTATAACTTCGCCTCCAGGTCCTTCAAAAGAGTTATTGCCAAGGCAAAGTCAGAGCACATAGGCAGAATTGGCGAGAAACTAGTTCGCCTTCCTTCGGGAACCCGTGCATTCTGGTCTCTCGCCAAGGCTGTCCAAGGGAATTTCTGTAAGCCATCACTACTATCTCTGCACAGGGAGGACGACTCACTGGCCCACGACGCAAAAGAGAAAGCCAACATTTTAGGCTCCCTTTTTGTGTCCAACTCGACTGTTGATGACGGGGGGAACACACCGCCGACCATCCCGCGGTGTGAGTACTCCATGCCGGATGTGCGGTTTTCACAGCGCTCGGTTCGCAGAGCACTCCTCTCCCTTGACATCCACAAAACGAGTGGGCCTGACGGAATCCCCCCAATTGTGCTGAGGACGTGTGCTCCGGAGTTGGCACCGGCGGCTACTCCCTAGGCGTAGTCCCGAAATCATGGAAGACAGCTTTTGTCCACCCGATCCCTACAAAAGGCGACCGCTCAGACCCGTCCAACTACAGGCCTATTGCCATCACCCCCTTGTTCTCCAAAATAATGGAATCCGTTATAAACTGCCACCTCATGCGGTACCTTGAGGATCACCAGCTGATTAGTGACCGCCAGTACGGTTTTCGTCGGGGTCAATCAGCTGGTGATCTTCTGGTCTACTTAACTCATAGATGGGCGAAGGCAGTAGAGTCCAAGGGGGAGGCATTGGCCGTTAGTTTGGACATTGCGAAGGCCTTCGATCGGGTTTGGCACAAAGCGCTTCTTTCGAAGCTCCCTTCCTATGGGCTTCCCGAGAAATTATGCAATTGGATCACCAGCTTTCTTGCAGATCGGAGCATCAAGGTCGTTGTAGACGGTGCATGCTCCGACTACAAGCCTATTAACGCTGGTGTTCCACAAGGCTGCGTGCTATCACCAACGCTGTTTCTTCTGCATATCAATGATATGTTGCAAGCCGGTAGCATTCATTGCTATGCGGATGACAGCACTGGTGATGCTCTATACACCGGCCGTGCCAATATTCTCGAATCGTACACGACCGAGTCCTTTCCGATCGGCTCGACTCATTGGCACTGCGAAGAGATGTTGCATCTCTTTGCATTTTCTTTCGCATTTACCACGGGGAGTGCTCTGAGGAATTGTTCAGATTAATCCCAGCCGCCAAATTTCACGAACGCACATCGCGGCAGAACTCCCGATACCATCCACACCATCTGGATGATTGGCGGTCCACCACTGTGCGATTTAGAATATGTTTTCTTCCTCGCACAACTTCTTTGTGGAATAGTTTACCACCAGAGCTTTTTCCGGACCGATACGACTTAGGGACCTTCAAGAGCCTACTCCTTTTTAAAAGGCCGGCAACGCATCTACAATTCCCCTGGTGTTGCGGTTGTTCATGGGCGGCGGTAGTCACTTACCATCAGGCGGGCCGCATGCTCGTTTGCCCCCTCTCCTATAAAAAAAACCGGACCCAAAAATCAACAAATTAAGGTTTTACATAACTTCAAGTGAGGATCGATACCAGATACCAGGCACTAATATACAAATTAAATAATGAGAACCGATACTAAGTTGATAAGAAACGGTCAACCCTTAGTCATTTTTTTATTCATAGGATCCGTCCTTATTTGTGTAGGAGTATGACTGGACTTAACATTTCTGCTGCCAGAAAGCAGTGCGTGCAATGCTGTGATCCAGATTCCTATCTGAATGGTAGAGAAATATTTTAATAACAGGCTGTGAGAATTTCTATCTTCTAAGGTTTCTAACTTCAAAGGTGACAATGCATTTGAAGGTCCTTTGTTTGACGCTTGCTTAAGATGTCTGTCGGCTGCAGTGGCCACTTACCATCATGTAGATTGTGAGCTCGTTTTTCTTTTAAATTTAAAAAAAATATTAATTTGAATATCGTATAATTTTATTTTCCGTCAAGATATTTAAAAATTAAACACAAAAATAGTTTAATTATATTATTTTCAAATAGTGTTTCAAAGGGTTTTTAATTAACATTCCAGGTGACAATACGAGAATAAAAGCTTCCCATTTTACCACACAAACTAATCCATAATTTGAGTAAATTATAACTATAATAAACTAATTTAAGTGAAATAATTTAATAAAACAAAGATACACTTAAGCAGGGCGACACCAAGTGAAACTCACAAGGAATTTTGAGTATGTGTTTTGAGTGTTTTGTGTCTACGAGCTACGAGCAAGATATTTTGAGTATGTATTCCTTATAAATATTATTATATAACCATCTTTTTCTATACCTGACTCCATTCGCTGTAGTACCAAACAGGTGGACATTCCCCTCCACAATTTCGTTCGTGTTCTGGCTTTTGGCCTTTGCAAGCTGAATCTCGAAGATGTCTTCCACTACCCCCAATACATAGAACCCCTCGGACTTGTTTGCCTCCACAAACAGATGAGCAAGGGGACCATTCTCCTAAGAAACAATTTTACATTAGAAACAGATAAAAATATTTATCGAAAATATTATAATTGGATTGAACGTTATACCTGTAAACCATTGACCATCATGAGGTTCGCAAGAGATTTTCGGAGTACAATTTTGTGATTGTTCAGGTACTTTTAACGGTGTGCAACCGGACGGATCACCACATCTTATACTTCGAGTTTGTACCCCTCCGCCCACACACCAACCTACACACTAAAACAACATTTAATTGTTTGGATAAATATACTTTATAAGGTCGTTAAAATATTATATAAAACATGAGTAAAAAGATAAAAAAACTTCATTCCAAAAGATATAAAAAGGACCTTACATCTGACCAATCAGAGTGGAGCCAACCTGCAGTTGCACTAAAACTGTATTCCGGTCCAACGTCGATGTCAGAACTATTGACCGTAATTGTGTAGACAGGGCCTTCTCGAAATGTGTCAGTGTGTTCACTCGGTCGTATCACTCGTTTCGCTTCTATTTGTCTAACTTCTCCAGAATTAAATTCGGGACAATCTGGTATATTGCACTTTTCAGTCGTAGATGGTTTTGGTGCCGGACACTTTTGATCGCTGACCTAAAAACGTTTTATTCTATTAATGTGACACAAATATTGCAACATAACTAATAATATAATACAATATTATAATACGCTATTTATGGTAATTTTATGATAATAAAAACCTTTATTATAAAATAACACAAAAATATAGAATAAATTCATCGCTATCATCCTGTTAGCTGTTAGAGATTGTGTCATATTGAAATATTTTTAATCTACAAACCGTTTTTAACCTACCGTAGCCAGTGGTAAGTAGAAGTGATAATAAGAACTATTACCCTATTTCATTCCGTAACGAAAGTGCAGTATTGTAGTCCACAGTGGCCTTCCTAGCAGAAGGAATCACTTCCCTAAGGAAGGGCACTGTGGCGATACGGCCATCTGATATTTATAAGGCCTATGTCCAGTAGAAGTTTTACGGGTTGATGATGAAAATGAAAATATATTTTTCATACCCACGACGGGAAGCAGTGTCAATAATTATGTGTTGTCACTTCCTTCTTTTGAGTCCCCTCAAATGGATTGCTTCGCTACCAGTAACAATAATAAAGATTCGATGATATTGGATGAATAAAGACAACGTGGTAGAGCCACGCTGCAGCTGTATTATGGTTGTAGCACGAAGAGGTGGGCTTGACCTGGGTAGGACCACTCTCTCACAGAAAACCAGCGTGAAATGGCAGCTTGCTACTGTATTTTTATAGTGAGTATAGAGAACTGGAGACCCTTTTTATTGGAAGCGAGGTATTCCATCTTGACCACAGCATCCACTTACCATCATTTGGACTATGTGCTCGTTTGTCACCCTTATTCCATAAAAAAACTATTTTTCTCAATGTCCTAGCAATGAGGTTTACCTTTGTAATGCCTCTCGAATGATCTTGCACGCATCCAACAATTCTTTTCCGAGTAGCTGGTCCACATTCAGGGCAGGAGGACCAAGCAGCAGCTCTCCATCTGGGTGGACATGGAATATTTCCACATCTTCGTCTTCTCCCTGCTGGTGGAGATCCTGTACAGTGCACCGGCGATATTTCCTTATCAATTCCGTCAGGGCTTTCTTCTACACATCGATATTTGCCTACCTAAAAAAAAAAAAATCCCAAAAATGTAAATGTGCAAAATAAAACCACTTAATACACTTACTTGTCAGATCCTAGTTCCTTTTCGCCAGAGTTCCCCACATTAGAAAATATTTAGCTTACCTGCATACCACCTCCGCAGCTTCTTGAACACTGAGTATAAGAAATTATTTTCCATAAAAATCTCCTTGCTTCGACAACATTCTCTTCCAAGCTATTTTCAGCAATAGAAGTATCCTTAGATAAGCCAATCACATCTGGATGCCTAGGAGTCAAACTTGATCTAGGATATGCATCGTAACCGTGGTGTCTCCGAGTATGTTTCGTAGTTGCCGTTTGTTTTATGTCAGGGTGATTTGATTTAGTAGTTGATTCTATTTCCGTTTCTCCAGGCAGAGATTCCGTAAAATATTCATATTTTATGTTTGGATTCGGTTCTGTGTAAAGAATCTGAAAAATAATTTCATTTCATATAAAAAAGGTAGGACATCGAATATAACCTTGTCACAGATGAAGTTTCCTACCATAATATCTATAGGATAATGAATAGGTCCATGTGCAAAAACAGAGTCAAGCCCAAGTACCCGCGAGTATATAAATCGGGCTCCAACGGCATCGTATGTACCCGGTGCACTTACAGCAAACTCCCCATTCATTATATAAGTTCCATTAGCTACTTTCAACGCTGAAACATACCAAATAAAATACTTTTAGTTAATATACAAAATTATATGAAAAATATCTATTGTTGAATATTTTTCACTAGCATCTCTTTACAAAATCTGTATGAGTTTTCACTAAGTATCTATGGTCTAATTACATTTCTTAACTTAATTTGATTTTTCTTTGTGGTTGGCAGCAAAATTTATTGACAATAAGACAATTAAACGAATACAGCTAAAGAAGGAAAATGCATTTTTTACTAAGTTGCTTCCTCACAAACAAATTAACCCTTAGATATACCAACAAAAAAAACTTATTAATTTTTTATTAAAATTATATTATAAAGAGTTTTTCTACCAACAATTTTGTACCTACGTCTCGAGTCTCTATAATAATATTCAACATTCTATTATGACCATCACAGTCCACTATTGGACATCGACATCTACTATTAAAGGAATAATTTGCCTATCGCCATACCTGGTAGGCTAATTGTCAATATCACTTATCTCCCACCTCAAAAAAATGGGATGTTACTCTTCCTCCGCCACCTCACGGAAACACGGCCGGCACAACTTTGCAGCCAGCCTAACTATTCAAAACTAAGTGCTGTCACCAAATCACATAATTTATCTTACTCACTTTAGTGCACTAAACTTATTCACAATTAGATTTCGCATTTGAAAGGAAATTTAAATAGGACGTACTATTCGTTCAACAGAGAACGACGTTAGCACTGCTATTGTAGAAAATTGCAAATGATTTACGATCCTATTCTATCTAAAACTGATAGATAGATACTCGTAACTACGACTGGCCTCATGTTTGCGGACCATTTGCCTTCATCGGACGATCATTCAGTACCGTAAATTAATGAATGAAGGTCTGGTAAAATGCGGGTTTATGTCAGCGAGGATTCATCTATCCAGTTGTAAAGATAATCTTTAGAAACTAGTTTACAATCCTATGAATAGCAACCATATTCTAGACTGTATCGCCATTGCATCCATATAAGTATCATCCGACATCCAGCTGTCGTTATATTAATAGAACTGTTTAAAATGGTTTATATGAATTAAATAAAATACCTATAATATTAAATGAAGATCTTTACATCTTAGGATTTTTTCACGTCACTTAAAATTGATGAGTTTTATTTTAAAATAGGAGCTGTATTCGCAACTTGTCCACGCCGCTGGATTCGATACCGACAAAGGTACTGGTTTTTTTTCTCGCTTAAAGGCTTAGCATAGCAAAGAGAATGCAGCCAGCGTTTTGGGTACTATACCACTAATACAAAAACCGGCCTAGTGTGAGTCGGACCGCGCTCTATTTTATTTCTGTACGTTATAACCAATTAACATTTTTTGAACAAGATATTTAATTAGGTAATGATTATTTTCCTAATTAAAATTTGAAACGTTTTAGGTAGTACTAAATTAAATCCATTTGGGGTGATGATCGCTGAATAAAAAGTTTTTTATACTCATGCTGGAAGCTGAATATTTGAAAATACATTGTTCATGTGAGTAAATCCGTGAGTTGTTACCATTTTACATAGCTCGCTCTTTATATTGACGAAAAATGTTTGTTTGTTTTGGTCACAGCTTAAAAACTAATAATTAATCGGTGTTTTCAATAGTTTTGTTATATTATATATATATATATATAGTACATAACATATAAAAATCCCAAATTACTAACATGTCATTTGTTAAATTTTTGAGATAGATCCCGTAATGAAAACTGTCTAAAATTGACAAATTTCAGGGATCGTAACTTTATTTTTGAGGATAAAAAAGAATAAAAATTTATTTGTTATCTATCTAATCAACGACCCTCAAAATACGTTTATTCAAAGCAAACTTTAAGGAAAAGGCCATTTTCAGTTATTACTCGCACCAATTCCTTGTAGCGAATTTATGCTCATTTAAAATAATTACACATAAAAACAACGTGTTGCAAGGATATGGACAAACCAATATAATTATCGCTGGGCATAATCTCAGACACGTTGAGCCTGCAGGCGCCACGCGGTACTGTTGTTACATAGGAGTACCCGAGGGGCAGCCGCGGTCGGGAGAACAGCCCGGATACGAGGCGCCGTCCACAGTGCATTTCACGGCTGTCTGCCAACGCGAGCACGGACTCGCGCCCCACCACCTGTCATTCATACATAAAAAGTATATTCGCACGAAATGTTAACGGTTTGCATCATCTTGATAACTAAATAATAATAAAAACTGCGGTTGTAAAACCGCCCGCCGAGCATGTCAACTTTAGCAAAAAACTCATGTAAAGTGAATCTCTGGGGGAGGCCTATGTAAAGCAATGAATTTTTGACAGGCTGTTATGATGATGAAGAAGTAGAGTATGGTTTGCGTTACTTGAATAAATCTAATACAGGTAAAACTTTGGAATAATCATCATCATGATTATCATAATAACAACCTATTATAATATCATATACCTACCCCATAAATAGCCCCAAGGCACAGTACTACTTTTTTAATCACACTGAAATGAAAACGAGTGAACAATCCACCTGATAATTGGTGTTTATTGTAATCGTTGAACCAACTTTAAATAAAAAAGGTCACAAATACGTTGTAGCCTCGTGGCATCATAGTCTGTAATAATACTGACTCTCTGTACCCATTTCGGTAAACAGGCAATGTCACCTACCTAGATATACGCGCAGGCAAAATACCATCTAGTCTAGTAAGATAATAATATCAAACACAAATAATGTAGATATTTTTTACAAAATCTTTCTTAAAGCTGTTATTTATATTTTTTCTTTACCAAGAGATCGTAACAATCCATATGTGAATAAATAATAAGTCGGGGAAAAAGTTTCTCCGTATTTTGTTTGTAGAAAATTGAAGAAAAATCTCTTTGGTTCAAAAGAAAAATTAAAAAAAAACTTTCCCTCCATTTTTTCAATTATATTTCTGTCCGCCAAAATGAGTGAATCTAACGAAGAAATTCGATACATTCTGAAGTTTTATTACAAAAAGGGAAAAATGCGACTCAAGCGGCAAAAATCATTTGTGACCATTATGGACATGATACTGCACTAGGCAGTGCCAGTAAGAGTAGCACAAAGTTGAATCAAGCGTTTTCAGTCCGGGAATTTTGATGTCAAAGATGCACCTCCCTCTGGTCGTACGGATCTCATGCGGATAAAGTCGATGCCATTTTTGAAAAAGTGGAGCAAAGTCGGCATATTAGTAGTTACGACATAGCTGAGGAATTGAGGATTGACCACCAGTTTTAACCCATTTGAAAAAGTCTGGCTATACAAAAAAATTTGTTATTTGGGTACCACACGAGCCCATTGTAAGAAACCTAATGAATCTGTACTCATTTGCAATACTCTATTGAAACGTAATGAAACCGAACCATTTCTGAAAAGATTGATCACTGGTGATGAAAAGTGGATCTCCTACGACAAGAACGTGCGAAAAGGGTCATGATCAAAGGTTAGTCAAGCTCCACAGACTGTAGCGCAACCCGGATTAATACGCAATAAGGTGTTGCTATGTGTATGTTGGGATTGGAAGGGCATGGTTTATTATGAGCTTTGATCTCTACTGCCAACAACTAAGGAGACTCAAGCAAGAAATTGAGAAAAAATGCCGGTTTCGAACAGAAAAGGAGTGGTCTTTCATCATGATAATACCAGACCACACACATCTAAGGCCACTCAGCAAAAATAGAGATAGCTTGGGAAGTCTTAATGCACCCACCATATAGTCCTGTACTTGCACCCTCAGATTTTTACCTGTTTCGGTATTTTCAGAATTCTTTGGGTAGTGTTAGGTTAACAAGAGAGGACTGCCAAAACTACTTGTCGCAGTTTTTTGATCAAAAATCCCAAAATTTCTGCAGCAAGAGGATGATTATGTCTCTAACTACAGGTTATGTAACAATATGGCACATATATATTATAATTCAATGTAATTAAACTTGAACTTGAACTTGAAGAAAAATGTCTTGAATTTGTATATAAAATACGAAGAAACTTTTTCCTCAACCTAATATTTGATTTTGTAATTTAACATTAACGGCATATTGCGCAGATGAAATACCTAATTATTTGTAACAAATGCTGAACAGTTTATTTGCAGATTTTGCTATCAGTCCGAATAATTTAGCATCGGCATGTTAATGAGTAATTATTACGAGCCTTTATTGAGAAAATAACTGATCTCATATAATAATTAACTTAGAAAACACCTTTCTCACGCATCTTTTAGTGTAATGTTAAGCGTCGTTTTTATTGGACGGTAAGATAAAACCATCGGGCAGATGCAGGGTGCTCACATTAAATTAATCATCATTTTCGTTATTAATTTAAAATTTAACGGCTTACAAACGCACCAATTTATTAAATTCTTTTATTAAATTGGTTATGAACGAGAACAAGAAACCAACAGAACTTCAACAGTCATATCGATATGACATCTAACAAATTTCAAAAAGCATGCTTTCAAAACTGAGCGGCTTGACCGAAGTAGAATAGCGACATTAATCAAATACCAACATAAATAAGATACATGGAAGGGAAGTCACAGCACCAATTAGATACCAGAGACATCTTTATGGTGCGACGGTCCGACGCCATTGATGCCGACCGGCGACAACCAAAACACAATACTCCGTCATATTAATGGGTTAGTTCGTGCATTGTTCGGTGGCTGGTTCAGAAAACTTATTTTCGTATCGCTTGTATTATGCATTCAGCGATTATGGTATTGATTAGTACTTCATACGTCGTGTCAAAGAAGAGTTTCGAAGGGAACAATGCATATTCACATTACGTTTAGATGAGTTAGGTAGGTACAGGCAATTCAGAAATGACGTTTAAATTTGGTTTGTAAAATCTTATATTTATAATTGTACTAGCTGGTACCCGATGCTTCAAGAATGATAATTTCATTGAAATTGAATGACATGTTATAACTTTCAAATAAATTTATCGGTACGATACGCGCGCCTACTGTAATTTAATTGTACTATGCCTGTAACCATCTATTATCATGGTTGAAAATGGAACACTAATTTCAATATTTGGGAAAATGTTTCTTTCATGAGAATTTGGCGGGCAATGTTAAAAATGTTCGTAGCAATGTTATTTGCACTATGATTTACTGTGACTATGACAAATTTTTAAATTTCCAAGAATGATTTGACCTTTTGGCTTCTTCTTTTAATGTTTTGACTGTCTCGTTGGTCTAGTGATCGTAAACGCAGTTGCTGATCATGAGGCTTCTAATCCGAGTTAGACCAAAATAAGTTATTGGGTTATTTCTGTCTAAAATTCTCGGTAACAGCCACCAACAGGAAAATACTTGTGTTTCATCAGTGCCCCTTGTCTTGCACCTGCTCTCTCTTTTCTGTCGTGTCGGATTACCGTCCCATTACGTCATACGTTATATCCCATACTTTCCACTGTAAATTGAAATTAGTACGGGAAAGTTTTAAATATAATGCAAAGGCAGGCCGATCGTCAACCGCGGTACAAGAAAATTCACCAAGGAAAAAGCAATCAAGAAACTTATTCGAAAAAACCAACGAATTACATATGTAGAGATTGACTAAGGACTGGGTATTCGATCAGCATGAATACAAACCAGCACTCTAGGTCAACTTTCTCTTCGTAAGCATGGTTGGAGATAGATGCCGCATAAGCTTATCGATGAGTAGAAAGACTGGATTAGTGCCAATTCATGATTGAGAAATTTGACGCCAGTAGGATAAACAAACGCATACGATATACAGTCTGACGATAGGTAGATAATAGTGGCGGTGTAGGAATATCCACTACTCCATATTGTCCAACGAGTGTCGTAAGAAGCGACGGAGGAAAACAAATCAAAAGACGAGCAACAGTGTCATCCTTCTCCTGCAGTCTTTACATCTAGAAAATATAAAAAAAAACTGCGATTGCAAACCCACCTACCAAAGGTGGCAACTATTGCAAATATCAATAATATGGTAAGCTATGTTCAAAAGTGGAATTTGATATGCTATAATTTTTTTTATAGGATAGGGTGACAAACGAGTACACAGTCCACCTGATGGTAAGTGGTTGCTGTGGCCCATAGACATCTACATTTATCCTTGTTTGCGAATCAAAATGCAGATGCGTTGTCACCCGTGAGGACTAAGATAGAATGCCTCTTTTCCAGTAAAAAGGGTCTCCGGTTCTCTACACTCACTGTTCGCGCCAAACACTTTCAAGGAACGAACGCGAGAGGGCGTGCGGCTCAGTGTCATACCGGTTTGACATTCGGTCGTGCGTAAAACGCCCAAGGGCCGGCAGTCGTCTTTAATCGGTGCTGACGTGAGCACGCGGTCCATTCTGTTAGGGAACTCGGAATAATTCGGCGCGGCCAGTAAATATACGGTCTATCATTGTGACGCGCATTCCTACTGGAGAGCTTCCCGGGACTTATTGTGTCTGACTCAAAACCTGCATAAGTGCATTGGGCAATATTAGATAGTGCGGCCTCTGATTCTAGAATTAACTATTGCTACGCGAAACGGTAGTGACCTTTGACCCTTTAAACTCCGTGTGCGTTTGTGCGGTAACCATTATACCCAGCGATAGTTAGTGGCTTCTGTAAGTTAGTAAATCGTACGATAGAGTTAATTGACTGGCAACGTGACGAAAGAAGAAAGTGACTGTGGACTATCTCGAAAGGCGCCCTCAAGTTGGAGCGGTGTCGACGCTCGGGCTGCTGCCGATGGCCAAGGTCTAGGTTCAATCACCATCAGTCACACCCAGATACACACCACATCACCATTCCTTCCCTTGCACTACACAACCACATGCGACCTGACCGGCTCCGGAGAGACCAGTCGCCTTGGATAGGTAAGTAAGCTTCATCCAAATTCCTTCCGGTCGACTGGCCGTAGTATAACGCTCCCCCATATATTTTAATGTAGTTGGGAATTTCCACGTGGTCACATTGGGGCCCGACCTGCGTCTGTTCGGGAAATCTTCAGCTCATGGGCCCCTGAAGATTGGATCCTTTAAGGGAGCAGCCGTAGGCCGTAACAAACTGGTAGCAGAGCGTGGTTCCGGGTTCGATTCCCGGTCGATCCCGAACATAGTGTTTGATAAACATTAAACAATTCTGGTGGCAGGGAGC